AAAGGTGAGTATGCTAGGATAAGGGAACACAATTATAAATTCTAACAGGGTAGTAGTCATCTTTAGTTAAGACAGTTTTACTTTGATGAAATGTTAAGAAATACTGGCTTAAGACATCTACACCTCTTATAACATAGACCTGTTACAGAATCAACTTTTCATTGTTCAGAAGTTAGAAATTGTGAGAAAGATGTTTTTCATATTGTTGATGTGCAAAATAAGCAAAAATGTAAATGGTATAAATAACGATAGGAGTGTGATAGGGAAATCGTTAGTTTCCTCACAAGTAAATGGTAGGTTTAAATTTTTACTTTTTTTAGGGTGGGTGTGCAAAGATTGCCTTGAAGGATCAAATGTTTTCTGCAGCTTATGTTATTACAGAGAAACGTGATCAGTTGGTTTGTTGGATAGATACTTCACAGCTGGTATTTATTTATGCTAAGTGTGTGATTATAAATATAATCATATTTTACCTTTCCATAACTTGTAAAGAATATATGTTTAGTCAGATATATTCAAGTATTTGTGTTCTGTGTGTAATTTGTATCATCCATGTGAACTAGAAGTATGGATGGTGTAAACTTGTACTAATTCTGTAATGCAGGTAAAGGTTACATACAACAGCACTTTTTCAATGAGCTTACACTTTTTTGACCTTTTGTGGAATGGGGTCATACATATTAAGGTGTAGTACAGAAATTTATACAAGTTAACATGAGGTGGGGTTTATCTATCTTAAATATGTTTATTTCTGTTTGGATATTCGTGAAACCTTCTCATTACTCCAGAAGCTGATCAGAGTTACAACATAATCCTGAAGCTGACATTAAACTATGGTTTACATTGTAATACTAAATAAAAGTTTTTATTTAGTTTCTTGTGTTTCTTGTTTTTTCATTTGTCTTTCAAAGCTCATTTTATTATTTGCATAACATTTCTCAAACCTGAATTTTGTGAATACCTGATACTTTTATAACAGGTATCATTGTACCTGAACACCACAAACTAAGTTACCAAGCTACATTTTATAACCATGACCAGAATTTGCTTATTCCATAATTTATTTTGAATGTGCTTCTTTTTTCATTTGGTTTTCTGGTGTAGTAAAGTTGGTAAAATATTATCAGTATGTAATGTAACTTTTTAGAACCACATAGAACTTGCAGTGGAGATGAAGAAGCTGCATTTGAGGTAAAAAACACGATTAGGTAACAGGAGAGGCACTCTTAGATGAAGAGCTTTTGCTAGCAATAGTGAAAACTATGTCCATGTTCTTGATCTACCCTTGAAACAAGAGGTTGGTAGGTAGCAAGAAGAAATATAGGCTGTTGTTACTTGATTTCTAATCATTACTTCTTTCATGCAGGAGTAGAAGGGTGAAAAAATAGGGCAATGGTGGTCACAAACAGCCTGAACCTAATGGGGTTGTCTCTATGGGCTCTTAAGACACTTGCTAACTAGTTCACATATCACCAAGCTCCAATTCTAGCCATCTGTGAACATGTAGTGTGATGAGATGCAAATGGAAGATGAAGCTCACTATGAAGTACTGTTGTACCATTAGGCAGGGAAGTCAACATTTTACCAGCATCCAGCAGATGTTTGGTAGTAAAGAGTCTTTTTTTATTTATTTATGCCTCTGAAGAAGGGCTGTTATCAGCTTGAAAGCTTATGCTTAGTAAAGTTTCTATTTTTTTAAGACTTTTTGGCTGGCAAAGCCTTATGATATATTTATATGATATAAATTTGGGTGAGGAGTAACTTGATAACTGGGACACAAATGCCATTGAATGATTCATGAGGCTGAATTCAAAATTTGAAGGTGAGAGCTCCACAAGAACTTGGCTTCGTATGCATAGAATGTGAGAATGCACAAATTTCAATTTGGCAAATGATTACAAGTTAGAAGTGAGTGGTGAGTCATGTCTCTGATATCATCTTATCAGTGGAAATTAACTGCCAGTTTCGTTTATGCAACAAATTAATAGTAAAACCATCCAGTGCCTACCAGATTGAGCTTAAGAATAGTAGTGATACTGTCCAACTGCTTTTGTTATATCTGTGTTAGTATGTAATTATGAACATCCTGCTATTCAGCTCCCAACTAGAATGATCGTTGACATGGTAACAGAGGTAAAAGTGGCACAAACCAGCTGAGTAGCAGTAATCAAATACAGTGCAGGTTGATTCCTCGAAGTACCTGTTCTGGAATTTGGTCATTTGCAGTAGTGATTGTGAGAATGAAGTAAAGAACAAGATTCTATGGAGATGACTTTAGATGGGTGAACATTGTAATGCATATCAATTCCTTTCTACTACCATGGATATATGAATTTTCTAGGTGCATAGGGAGGTATATTTGATTAAATACATTAGATCTGGTTTCTGGAAAGTTGAAATGTTTGATGAAAGTGGATTTAAGACTGGTTTCAATACCTGGAAAGGATTATGAAATCCACATTTATTCAGTCTGTGTAATGCACCTGTCACTTCTGAGAGGATGGTGGAGCTTACATGCAGAGAGCTGGAACGGGAGAGATGTTTTGTATATGTGGATGATATATTATTTTTTGGTCATATGTTTCAGACCACTGCTGAGAATGATATACCAGCAAATTAAGAATGTAAACTTGAAATTATAACTAAGAATGTATGCAGGAGTGAAGTTTCTTGGTCCCATAGTGATAGAGATTAAGTGTCCCCCACTGATCTTATGAAGGTCATGTTTGTGCTGTTTTATATTTGTCAGAACGTGCTTTCATCCTGGTGTGAGTAGTTTTGTCCCAGGATAATTATGGTATGGAGTGTATAATGACAGGCAAAGTCACATGCTAACCACTCTTGAATGCCAATTCTGTACAACAAAGGTGGAACTGTTTGCAGTTGTAGTGCTTGTAAAACGTTACTGCCCCTATTTGTATGGAAGGAGGTTCTCCTTTGTAGTGAACCATGTCTCACTAAAATGGCTGAAAAGTATAGTTGTGCATATGGTAAGATACTGCAAAAGTATAACTTCTTTGTAGACCAGCATCTGGATAAATGGTGCAGAAACACTGTTAATTTATTTTACCAACCTATGAAATTAAGTCCATTCATTAAATGTTGAGATTCTGGATACAATGCAATGCTGAAAGTCATTGCAGAAGCTATTAGTGGCAATTCTGTGTTTGAATGGACACCACAAATGACCAGTCAGGAACTTTATGAAGAGAAATTGTAGTAGATGTAGTGTGGTTGAAACATTATTACGTATTATCTTTTGCTTTCACTCATAATTTAATAGAATTACTAATGTGTTTTTCTTCCATTGATGCTGTGGTTACTTGTCCTATTCTGGGAACAAGAAGGCTAGCTTGCTGATTTTCCAATTTTTTTGAGTAATAGTAAAGTTAATTCAGATAATAATAATAAATATTGTTAAAAATAAATCAGTAATATTATTTTATTAATCCTTACCCTAATTCTGATTTCTGAATGACATAAAATTGATAATAATTACAATTCACTTACTTAATCTAGTTCATGTCATAAAGTTTTTTTTTTCCATGAAATTGTTGATTTACCCAGCTTTCATAGAGAATTTATCTTACTTATTAGTGTGCAGCACTTGGCTAACATTCACCCAGCAAACAAATTGAGAACATAAGTGCTGTTCAAGAGCTCTTGTTCTCATGAACCCAACAACTCAAGGTTACTGATGCTTACAATTCACAGTTAAAGTTGAATGCAAATGTTACTTCCCATGTGCTTATTGATATCTTTTATTCTGACCGTATGGCACCACTTGTTTCCTAAATTTACTTTCAGCTCATTATGAAGTCAATACCATGAGTTAATGATCTGTCATTAATTTTCTTTACAGTTTAGTGTAGAGTGATGACTTTTCACAGAGATTCAATATTTTTTTCTGCATTATCTCAACATGAAGTTGCACCTTTAGATAAATATCTTGGCTGTTTATACACCAGTGTCTCATACATAGTTAAAGTGCAATATATTTATATGCACACATGGTTGCTTAACTGGTATTATAAGATTATTTTTATAACTGTTATTTTATAATTCCACATGTCTGTAATGAAAGTATTGCAAAAAAGCTACAGTGAAACATTCTCACTGTATACTATTATTCAACCTCAAATAATACTCTGTTCTATATGTTCATAATATATACTGTTTCCATTAACACACATATGAAAGAAACAATTAAATACAAATTAGTGAAGATTAAAATATCAAAAATTGTGGTGTTCCCAGCAAAACGTTTTTTTTTTGCAGAGAAGTCAGCTACACCCACTAACTGGAGGTTCAGAGAATACTGGACTACAGGGTATAATGATCTCTCCAATCTATAACTGGTATTGTCTGGAAGAAATACTTGACACTGGTAGTTTCACATGTACATAAATGTTTATTCATAAAAAACAATTACAATAAAACAATACAGACGAAAACAAGGGCAAGTGTTTAATGTATCAAAATGATAAGAGCAAAATGAAGACTTTACTTAAAAGCTCTTTATAAGTTCAGTGTGTCTTACCCTGTCAGTTAAACTATCACTGTAAAACCTTAATATGAAAAAGAATCCTGAAGAATAATTAACTGAAGCTGCTATTCCAGTTTACCATTACTTTTACACAAAGCAAGGTCCAAATCACAACTTTGGTGATGATAATACAAATAAAAAGAATAAGCTACACTTGCTACAGTTAAAGAGGAGATTACCAAAATATCAAAAGACTAACACTCAACTTAAACATTAAATGAAATTAGCCTAAAAACTAAAACTTACATTACTGAAAGGTAATTAAAAGTTACTAAAATATTTCTAAATGCTAGTCTTTCAAAAATCCTTCTAATTATGTCTAATTTCTGTTTTACTTCTGCTAATGCATTACATGCTTCATAATTTTGTGAATTTGATATATTTTTCACTTACAAAATGTATACTTTTTTAATTTTTGGCAAATCTTTAAGTGATAGCTTTATCCCTATACATATCTGACTGGTTGTGAGGAGCAAGATAAGGGAACAGTAATGTGCAGTAATAGTTGGTTAAAATTCGGTAACTAAAAGGAGCTATCATATAACACTTAATAGTGAGATGATCTGATGTTTTTTGCTGAGTTGTAGCATCATTTCTGCATAGCTGTGTGTGTGAAGCTCGTTAGACACACAACTAGGACAGCTGAGATTTTTATTAGAGATCCTAGAGAAATTGATGTTTGGTTTCAGTTTTCTTGAACTTCATTTAGAAGAAAAATGAAGTGCTTTGTATTTTCAAAAAGCTGGTAAAGGAAAATTTTGGTTTGATTCCAAAGTGCAGTATTCATATATATATATGCATTTGATTTTCCACTGAGAGAAAAATAGTGTTGCTTTAAAATCTGCACCTTGCCAACTAAGAAATATGATGGATGCTTTGTTTTTGTTGGTGGAGAAATATCTTGCATTTAATGCATCTGGGATATACAAAGATTACGTGACTTAGTACTTATAAGGTGAGATCATGATTACTATTTGACAAGAATGAAAAAACAACAACAGTGCACCTATTGTTTTTGAGTAGTTTGATTTGGAAATATGTATTATTTGCATGATTGAATTATTTCCTGATTTTTCAATTATTACTGAATGTCTTATTTTCATATTATTTCTAAACTGGGTAGTCATACTTGAATTTTGTGGTTGCACATTTATTTGTGGTGTTGTGATGTAATATAAGTTTGAATTCAGACATTATGTATTTGTTTGGATTATGTTTGACTTATATAAAAAAAACAGGTTAAAGGTTATGAATAGTAAGTTTATAAAACTTTCAGATTAAAACTAGTCACTGTTGTAAAGAAATTAGCTTAATTTTATTTTTAGCTACTGATGTAAGGTGTTTATATTCAGTTTATCTCCATTGGAGCTTTGCCTCTTGGATAACCAGACAATGGTAGGATAACTCACTCATCTTTATGTGAGGTAAATTGCTGACTATTAAGCCATTGCCATGGGCTGGTGTGGTCTGGCTAATATAATTGTATTTACACTGTTACATAGAAGTTATGTGGATTTTGTCTTCACTAGTGATTGGGACAGATAAATTCTTACAATATAATTGTGAGTGCATATACCATTAACACTGTGATACATGGTACTTATGCTTCATATTGTCCAGGCAACTTTTCCCTTGAAAGTGTTGAGTTATGGCCTGATTAGTTGTGATTTTTTAACTTGTATCACTTGAATGCCTGACCTATCATATGTTGAGTTGACTTGTAGATTTCAAACCCAAATTTTATTATATAAAGTAAGGATTTTTTACAACAGGTTATCTTGTTGCTCAACTTCAACCAGTGATTAAGGTTTGATCTACACAACAAGAATGTGAGTTGGAAGATGAATTCATGTTAGTAGAGCTGGAGGCTCTGAACAAATTATTCAAGACTCTTTGAAGGAAACCTTAACCTCCAGCTTCCAAACTTGTAGAAGAGGATACACCATGACAAGTTGTTTCAGAAAAGTGTTTTCTTACCTTTCCAGTTCCCTTGGAGAATTTCATAGGGATTTGACTTTTTCTGAATGAGCATGTGGTTGCTTTTATAGACCTTTACAGGAGTTCTTTTATAAGATGCCTCACAAATTATCAAATTGGAGGCTTCTGAGATTAGTTTAAAAGTTAAGAGTATATAAAATTGTCCAAGTAGTAGAAAGCAAAGAGTGATGATATATGAACATTTTTCTGTCTTGTAGAATATGACTAGTGGGACCTTTGCTGATCACTGTTTATGTTAATTCTTTTGGTGCCTACTTGGACAGTAATATTTCTAAATTTCCTGATGATACTAAAATGTTGGGAAGAGTTAATTCTTTTGAGAATGCTTCTCTAGTCAAAAGACAGTCTGAAGGAATGGTTAGTGTGGAAGATGTGTTTGAAGATTAAGAAGTATAAAGCTACATGTTTGGGCTATTGATACTCAGAAAGGACTTTTTGTGTCAGAAGTACATGGGTATTGTGTAATAGTGAAAGATGTGGTTTTGTTGTTGATAACATGATAATGTCTTCTGCTGAGTGCTTAGAAATTGTAAATTTAAGAATAAGAAAGTTATTGAAACCACGTAGAAGACTAATAAAGCCTCATGTGGAGTAATGTGGCAGTGTTGATCCATTTACTATAGTAAGGATTTAAACATGTTGTTAAGAGTGCAAAAATGGGTTGCTTGAATGAAACCTGATTTGAGTCATTTAATCCAGAAAGAGGGGATTAGTGTTAGGGCTACGTACTCTACAGTACAGAAAATTTAAAAAGCTTTGATTCAGATGTTCATAACTGTTTAGGGTTTCAAACAGTCTTCCTGTGAGTTGCTGTTTCATGGTTTAAGAAAATGTTGGAAATATTAATCTGAGTAGTAGGAGTAATAGGTGTAAAGCTTGGAAGTTTACTGTATATGCAGACCTGTTCTTTGGCTTCCAGGATTTTTGTTTGGTTAGCAATTATAAATTTATGGATTGGTTTACCTGATGATGTTTTATAAAGAGAAATAGACAGTACCCAGTGAAAATTCCTCATTTTTTCATCTTTTGGTTTTATTAAGAGGTAGGTACCCTACTGAGCTTGAGCTTGTGTGCAGTAGGGTGTTTACCTCTTGATAAAGCTGTAAGGTGAAACACTGAGGAATTAAATAATTTTCACTGGGTACTGGCTATTTCTCTACATAAAAAATGTTAGCACTCTGGTGTGGATTACACTACCTGAATTCTACCTGATAATGTGTTTATGAAGCTAATTTATAGTATTTAAAAATTTGATGGAGAGTTCTATGGATTTGAAGGGATAGGAATAAAAAATATAAATCTTTAGCTCTGAGGTAACTGGGATTAACTGAATGACCTTTTGTTACTTAGTTTGTTATTTTATCTTGTATAGTTTGATTTCATGTTTTGGGTGGTTATTTTTATGAGTAAGTGAGTGACTTCAATATGCTTTGTATATTGTTAATTATACAGAGATTGTTATATTAAAACAATTTTGAAGCCTCACTATGTCATTACAGGCCATGTCAGTACATCTGATCATGCTCTGTTTGATAATCATGTATCTTAACAACAGCCCTGCAGTGTAGTTTCCAAAGCAAAAGGCTTTGTTGTAAGATTGTCATTCCCAAAGTTCACCACATCTCCCTGCAAAAAAGCCATAATCCATCGTATGTACGAGGATGACTGTTCCCCAGTGCCCATTTCAACATTATGTTCACAAAGAAATACATAGGCACCACATCTGGCAAATTGACTGGTATGCATCTATATGGAATACCATGAATACCCATTTCATTCTCCAGCTTCTTGAAGTATACAATAATTAAACAGGAGATATGACTGGGAGCTTTATCCTGGTGAACCCAACCCTGTTGCCCTCATTTCCAGAAGGATATCCTTCTTGATTATGTTGCGTGCTGTTTCCTACACCACAAGGATGGCTTTTGTCTCTGATCAGTGTGTTTGATGATTCTCGTATATATACAAGATGTTGCACTTTGCAGTTGGGATACAACTTGTTGCCGGTCTCTTTCTGGATGGTCATGATGATGTCCCCACTTGATCCATACTCTTTTGTTTTCCAATGCCATTAAGTATATCCCCATTTGGAAATTCTAAGTCATTGATCTGAATACATTTTATGAACTAGATGTAGGAATATTTTGCATTGGAAATATATATCCTTCCTAAAAGTGATTAATTTCTAGTGGCATCACTCTATCTATGAAAAATCCAAACAATCACCAGATGTAGTTCTGATACATGCTATTCCACCATGACTATGTATTGGTTGTGGTTTTTACATGGCTTTCTGATTTTTATATTAAAAATCATTTTTATATAACATACTGAACCTCTTGTACAGGAAGATTTTTACCAGTCATTATATGATTTGATAGTTTAATTATAGATCATGATAAATTATGTGTGGTACCTTTTATAAAGTTTTATACCAACTCATATATCTTGCTCACATAATTAGGAAAAAAAAATTGCTAAAGAAGAGGTATTGATATATGAAATGCAAGAACAATAAATTATTTGTTGTTTTATTAACATGGGTAAATAATAAACCATTAGCTTTAAATTTCATTGCCTTTTTTTTTTCCAGGTTCATTTTAAGATATAGAACAAAAAACGAAACAACACACAATGAAATACTAAATTATATCTTAAACTTAATATCGGTAAACTATGAGAAGTACAAAGGGGAATTTCTTCATGGAGGTACGAAATTCCTAAAAAACATGTCAATGGTCTCAGAGGGATGTGTGCTCTAGTGGTCTCAGAGGGATGTATATGTACCCATGGCAGTGAAAGAGTTAAGAAGACTTAAGGGGTTTGAAAACTGCTGTAATGTAAAAATGAATATAGTGTATACATATTTATGTTTGTGATTTTTTAATATTTAGGATGCATGTATTAATACATTAGTGATTATTATTTTCCAGAAAACGGTTATCAGGGTTAATTGAATTCAAGATACTTCACTATGACTAACGATGGGCTTTTAGGTGGGGTTTCACTGAAGTGGGATCCCAAAAACCTGGAAATATGTACTCGTTCAGTTGAAAAAACCTTGGAGCCTTTAGTTATTCAGGTATGTGTTCATACATGTATCTTCTAACATCTTATTTAACTTATTCAAATATTTCACACAATTCTATCTCAAAAACTGATATAAATGGGAATTATACTAGCTCAGTTATACAGTATGAAGAAAAATTACCTACTTACCATCTATTTTGATAATGAAGTAGAAAGTTTGGTATAACTGAGCTTGAACCAAAACAAAGCAATTTGTAGCATGTGATGACAGTATTTATATTATTTTTCTTTTTTGAAAGACATTTAAGGTTGACACCAAAATATTGAAAACTTTAGCAGTTAGTCCAATGATGATGCAACTTCTGTTATAGCCAAACCATAGAAAATAAAGTCCAGATACAATTAAATTGGGTAAGAAAAAATGGAAACTAATGCAAAAGATATATATGTAAAAACAGGAACAATATTTAAATTGTACAATAAATAATGGTGTAGGAAGGAGTTTCAAAGTGGGGGTGCTTGGTTAGACGTGCAGATTTTACAATATGAGATTGAAAGCATAAGGAGCTGTTAAAATCTGCTCATTCTAGGGGGGGGGGGGTATGGGGGCATGCCTGGTTCCAACGCCTCTGATAAAAACTATTTGGCTGACAGCTAGCATTAAAAGACTATGGGGTTTGATAGCATAAGTATTTTAAACACATTTAGTTTTAGAATTTTGTGTATGTTCATTCAAAATCCCCATAATGATAAGTTTAATAAATATTTCTTTTTGTAGGTTTTTAATATAGGCTTCTTTTTTGTTCCATTATTTATTTTTGTACTGTAGTGAACCAGTTGAATACTAATTCTTTTCAATTTTTCCCAAAACTAATTAGGATTTTGCTGCTGTTTCCACCTTTTTTTTTCTAACTTTTCATTCTCAACATTAATCTTTTAATTTTAGATTAGAGGAAGTGACTCACTGAATAATTATCATCCACACCAGTGGAATGCTACTTGTAAAATACATGAAGTTACTGTATGTATAATGAAGCACATGACTTTTATACTATATTGAATTTTGCTAAAATCTCAAATTCTCTGACTTGACCAAATCAGCCAAACAGAATATATGTAGTCTTTGATAAGCACCATAAACAATTTAACTCATCTAATATTGTTAGGCTGAACTTGTAACTTTTGTGAATATTAATATATAAACCTTTTTTGTAAATTTTTAAGCAATAATGAAAAATCTGTATTGATAATGTAAAATTTATTAATTTTACGTTTATGCTGTAATTGAGAAAGAGTAGCTGTTAAAATATATTTTTATTTTTTGTCATAAATAAGAAACAAACAAAGGAGACTAGCAAACAGCCAGTCAGTTGTATAGAATAAACTAAGATCTGTTTCAATGCTTAGGTTACAACATTAGTTAATACTAAAGGACCTTCCAAGAAGAAGAAGGGCCGTTCCAAGCGGGCTCATATTTTAGTAGCTGCAGTTGAGAAAGCGAATGAAAATTTTATCCAGCAAGGGCAAGATATTGCTCGTGAAAATCCTGATATCCAGCATGAAATGCTATCTGCTGTTGAAGAAGTACAGAAAACAGGTAATTTAAGTTTATTTTTCTTTCCTCTTATAAGTTCATTTGTTGTGTAAAGAACTCCAGATTTTAAACTTTGAACAGCCAAGAAAATTTTTAGTAAAAAGAAAGTGACAATATAAATTAGGTTTTCAAAGGACAAAATTTAAATTGTTTTACTATTAAGATAAGCAAAAGTATTTTAAACATTTGAAATTTCTAAGAAAAGTCTTGAAAAACCAATGACAAAGAACAACCTCATAACAACATTTTATGCCTGAGAACATATAAAACTATAATTCTGATACAGTACATTACCTCATCTCACATAAATAGCTATTCTCATTCAGTGCTGCCCTCTATATGCAAACAAGTTTTTGCACATGCCACAAACCATGCCAATCCCACCTGTTTTGAATTGACTAATTACAATGCATCTCCCCTGCAAGTTATCATACAATAACCCTCCACCAATAAGGGCGCGACATATTCCCTTGATGCATGTGGCTCACTCTATTCAATTCTGCTGTACTAACACTTCTCATTTAGCAGTGCTCATGTTATATCGTTTAGTTTGTGCTCTCTTCAAGTGTTTTATTTTCATTTTCTTTTCCATATCTGTGTATTCATTTTTCTCAGCAAGTTTATTCTTTATTATACAGTTATGATATTTGTAACTTGTTGAGTATTCTGAAGTGGAATTATTTTATATTTCTACCTGGTTACGGAACTTATTACAAGAACTTTTTATTTGTTTCTGCCAACACAGTTGTGTTTGGTTATTCATTTTGCATTATGTATTTTCTTTTCCCACTTCAGAGATTATATGTTCTACGAGCACATTTACACAATTTTCAGGTCGCAGTACCCTGTGGGAAGATTTTTGGCTTTCTTCACTGGGAGATTGATCATCCAATGAAATGAATTTCTTTGAGTCTCACCTCAAGTTTGAGGCCCACACATTTGAAATACAGTCCGTTGACTTTGGAAAAATAATAAGTTTCACTGTTATGGTTTTTGAATAGTTCTGCGGTTTCTTCCAGAAGGGGTCATTCTATGTTTCAATTACCTTCCTCCCATGTATCCTCATCCCATATCAGGTTCCCATTTCCAGCCAGTGTCTTTCCGAGGTGGTTCTAGATCTTCTTCACAAGGGCACTGTAGAATGGGTAGATCTCAGCCAGGTATCTACTCTCATTTGTTTATAGTCCCCAAGAAGCCTGATGACTGGTGCCCCATCATAGATATCTTTTTTCTTGAACTGATATGTCAACCATCCTCAATTCCCCATGAAGTCCTACATATCTCTTTGATGGGCTTTCACTCCTGGTTTTTGGATGATGAAGGTAGATGTATTGGATGCTTACATCCACATTCCCATCTCCCCAGCATCCCAGCATTTTTTGTTTTGCCCATCAGAGTTGCGTCTACCAGTTTTGGGTTTTCTGTCCAGGCTAGCTTTGGCTACTTATGTTTTTTGTCGGGTTGTCAAGGCCCATCTTCTCCATTCCTAGGGCTTTTGTTTCAAACATTACATGGATGTATGGCTGCTTCTAGCTCCTTCACCTGCCACCTCTTCCATTCACACTCAAGAGTTTTTTCATCAAGAGGCTGCACAGGTAGGGTGGCTAGTCAAGGTGGAGAAGTCCTTCCTCTCCCCCACTCAATACCTTGTTCATTTCTGTGTATTTTTCAATTTCTGTCTCAGCTGGGCTCACCATTATCCCCTTCTCCAACTGTGTGAGAGGTTTTATCTCTTTTGGAGAGATGGGCTTTTGTGGAGGTCTTCATTCCTCTCGTCAAGTCCACATTTGTTCTTTTTAGTGGGCTTTACAAGATTAGTGGAACCTCATTTGGAATTCTTTAGATGCCCTTATCCATCTCCCTCCTTCCCTTCATGTGGACTTCACCTGGTGGTTGAACCAAGATAACACCACATTGGGTGTTCCTCTTCCTCCTCTGCAACCAGAGGTGCACCTTTTCACAGATGCTTCTTTTTTTGGGTTGGGATGCATATCTGCTAAAGAGATTTTGGGCCACTGGTCTGTCGATGACTCATCTCTGCATATCAATCTTTTGGAACTGCTTGGTGTCACTTGGGCTTTGGTTCACATCCTTATGCCTCAGTGGTTGTTTCATACATCATTTGGCAAGGGGGTACGTGATTGAAGGTCTCTTTGTTTCCACACATTGGACCTCCTGTTTTGCCTCCACAGCCATAACAGTCACTTATTGGCAAGTCATATACCAGGTAACCTGTATCTGATCACATATAACTTTTTAGTGTTTAGCTGGCTGGGTTTCAATTGGGGTACTTCCGAAACTAAATGCTTTTGCCACCCAACTGAAATCCAAGCTTCCCAGATTTTGGTCACCAATTTCACATCCTTTGACATCCCCCCCCCCATCTGTATTTTTCCTCATGTCCTGTCTGTCATACAAGCCACTCCATGTTACATCTTATTAGTTGTACCACTTTGACCAGCAAAGTCATGGTTTCCACCTCTGCATCCATTCCTATTGACACCTTCTCTTCTTCTTTCCTCTTTCACCAATCCTCCTCAGACAACATCATTCAGGCATGCTACTTTATTCCATTTCAACACTCTGTCTTTACATGTCTGGTCCCTTGGGCTGGACTTTCCCTGCAGGCTGCTTCCCTGATTTACCATTCTGTTTGACGTTCCTCCATCTCAATTTACCAGTGTAAATGGTATGTCTACCACCTTTGGTTTTCTTGTCATGGTTTTCCTCCATCCTGTCCTACTCTCTTGCACTTGATTTACTTCTTTACCTGGATTTTTGACAAGAAGCTTTTGGTATCCACCATTTCTAGTTATCGTACAGCCTTGTTTCACAAGATTTTGCTGTCTTCACTTCACTGATTCTCACCCTATTGTTTCATTCCTTCTGCCTTTGCTGTCCTCCACGTCCTACCACTATTTCTGATTGGAAACTGAATGTTGTCCTCCTTGCCCTCACACTTCCTCCCATGTTATCCTGTTCCTTATATCATCTCTCCTTAAAGACCTTTTTCCTTCTCCTTTTGGCATTTGGATGTCGATGTTCAGATTTGTTTACTCACAGTGTCTTTCACACATTATATCATAGGACCTATGTCATCCTTTTCTGCCCAAAACATTGCCTCCATATGAGGGCAATTTTGGCTTTACTCAAATTTCCCTCTTTTATTTCACACCTTTATCATCATTCCAATCTGTATCTCCTCCTATGTCCTGTCTGGGCTGTCTGCTATTATGTAACTTGCACTCTTTTCTTCTGTGGTTCCCATTCCTATTTGTTCATTCATTGAAATCCTTCTCTTTCCCATAATATTTCTCCTATTTCTTTTATGAGTTGGAATTACCAGCTTATTTGCTTGGCTTATTCTTCCCTGTTTCCTGATGATTGTCATCAATTGCAAGTCTCCTCCCATCAAATTTGTCACCTTGGCTGTCTGATTCCCTTGTCCATTAGAGGATATCATTCATGCCAGCATGTTGACCACTCCTCCTACATTTATGTTACATTATTTTCATTGTCTGGCTGTTTCCTGCTGTACAGGTTACCGTCTACCTCATGTCACCATCTTGAGCTCCATGTTTTCTCTATAAATGGGTAGGAGCTTTTTCTACTTTTCTTATTTTTAGCGGCCTTTCTCTCATACATGGATTCTGCTCAGGTATACTTATTCTTAAATCCACACTGTATGACCATTCAGGTTAATAATGCCCATCTGTATTCTGTATTTTTTTTAAATTACTTTTTTAAACTTTTTTTTTTTGAAGCAACCTGATGTATAACTAAAATAAATGTTTCAACTTATTCCTAATCTTCTTGTTATTGTCCTTTGATTATGAATTTATGTAGCTTAAACATGTCTATTCAAGTATTTGTCTACAATTTTGTATTTAGTAGAGAAACAAACTTAAAACTATTTCATGTTTAGGCTTTAGAAAAAAGAACTTCATGATAATGGAAACTACTCAAACTATCAACCTAGCCAAAATTGACCAAGTATAAAGCTTCAAAGCTTTGGTAAATTGCAATTTAACATGTATAACTGCAAATTATCTGAATAAAAAAAAGAAAATCATATTTTTATTGTATTATATTTTGATTTTTGAAATGAAATGTTTAGCAACTTCTGAGTTTTCCTTTTGTGATTTTAGTATGGTTTATTTAGATTTTTGAGACAAAATATGGCTCATTGGTTAGCTTTTAGACTGTAGATCCACAGGTTCATCATTTACATCCTGATACTGTAAAGTATTCATACACCACACTTTGGGGCCACATATGCATCATGAGGGTGACCATCAAATTCTCTATTCTATTCTATTTGCTCAGAGTTAGAAATGGCTAGTGCAAACAGACCTTTAGTAACTGTGCAAATAACCTGGAAAGAAAAAAAAGCATCATCTATATTTTCATTTAGAATTTATATTGACATTACAACCACTTAAACACTAAAAGTTTTCTATAATAACAGCAAACATTTCAGTTGACATTTTTATTATTTGACTGAACTCCTAATCTACTGAATAAAACAGTTAATAATAATTGCTTGAACATTTTTGTACTAGCCTTCTGTGTAAAAAATTGTTTAATTTATTTATTATTATCTTTAAGCTAGTAGGTGAACAAAATTTGTATAGATCATAAGAGGTTCTACTAAAAACCACAAAAGTCAGTTTCCATGATAACTCACTTATTTTAGAGCATACAAATTTGAAATAAACAATCAAGAGTCAAAAATTTGTAGGAAATTCTACTAATCTTTTACAAAATCCATATTAAGTTGTTTTTTCAAGTTGTATGTAAACTATGAGTTCAGACTTAGGAAAAGGTGAGCAGTTAATAAGGCTTAATTTTGTGTAAAGTGGTGATATACACACACACATACACAAAGAGTAAATTAATTGTAATTAATAAGGAGCAGTTCATTTGTTTCATTTCAATGGTGTATCTTTGGTTTGTTTTGGGGTGACAGTTTCTGAAGCTGAAGCATGAAGGTTATTTTATCTTGAATAAAAATGTCATGATTGCTTTAGTGACTAATGACTATACAAGTACATTACTGAGAGCAAGTTTTAGTACTGTTGCAAAGTAAATGAAATGTTTCCCCATTATTTAGTAAAAATGAAGGGGAGGGAACCCCTGTATAAATTATGTTTATGTTCTATTTTTATGCAACATATTGTGTAAGGTAAGGTTAACATGAATTTGTTGGTGAAAATAATCTTTGTTGCATTTGAACGATTTATTGTTTTAACTGCTAAAATTTATAAGCATGAAATATCTTCTACTTATTGCTCAGAATTATAGTACTAGCATTAAAAAATGTATCTTGAGAACTTTGTAGTGATATTTACAATGAAAGTAGCACTTGACAATTCTATCCAGTCAATGGAGTGAACTGTTTTTGAATATATATATGACAGGCTATCCAAGTGTTTGGCTGAGATGGAATTCTAAGAATGAATACATTAACATTAAAACTTTTGGTACCATTTAATGCACTTTTATGATAAATTATTTTAAGTATTTCTTATTCTCATGGTATTATAATTACCCTGTAAAAGAAGTGTAATAACATTAAAACTAAATATTTCCCCATTTTGATAATATAACTGGAAATTGTTTTTATCTCATTAAGTTGTTAACTATAGAAAATAAAACTATCTGTCTGCAATGAAGCTGTAATTACAATTTTTTAACTCATGAGAACAATATAAGTTAAGTTATTAGAAATTTAAAAATACACAAATAATATTGATACAAACATTTTGGGACAAACAACACTTACTTTGTAGGAGAAATTATGAGCAGGTCAGCAAAAGACTTTGCCGAAGACCCATATTCTTCTGTTAAAAGAGGCAATATGGTTCGAGCTGCAAGAAGTCTCCTATCTGCTGTCACTCGACTGCTGGTTTTAGCTGATATGGTGGATGTTCACAGACTTCTGAAATCTTTGCAAACAGTAAGATACAGAATTGTGATTTGCTTGCATTGAATGCCTGACTGGAATCTTTAATAGTTAAGTTTTAATATAAAAAGTGCATTTAGTGCACTTTTCTTGTGAAAACCTATTCTAGAACAGTTAAGAAATAAAGGCAGCTGTTTTGTGGTGCTATATTATCTTGCAGTAATGCCATTAAATGGCTCCTGGGCTTATATTTTGTGAATGAAAAATAAGGTACTAAAAATAATTTGAATTTCATTGACTGTTTTTGTTTTATCATTTTATATCATATAATGTAAGTTTTCATGAATATTTTATGCAAGATAAAGAAACTTAAAATGCAGTGGCAACTTCATTTCAAACAAAATTTACAAACAAGTTAAAATTAAGTGCTCAATGCTGCATCATTTCTTTGTGATAAGTAAGATTTTGCTATCTACTACATAAATCAGAAAATCTCTATACATTTTCCTCCCTTAATTAGGTAGAAGGAGACTTAGATAAAGTCAAGAATGCCTCAAGCCAGTCAGAACTAATAGAATTGTTTAGAAGGTTTGGGAAAAATACAAATGAACTGATCCATCAAGCTGCAAAACGTCAGGCTGTAAGTTGCTGTTTTACATTCTGTTATTTAATCATCAGCTTTTTTTTACCCTGTTGAACAATGTTAGCTCTTAAATAAAAACTTGATTTACCACAAGAGATATTTTGCTCAAATAATAAAAGGTAAATGTAATTGAGGGTCATAAAAGTAGGCCAGTGTGGCCTTGAAAGAGTAAAATGGAAAACTTGTTTTTAAGCATGATTTGTGTGAGTATGTATATGACTATATATTAATTACATTATAAGAAACACATTTTCTTGTATTTGTTTTTCACAGTAAAATATAATTAACACACTCACGACCATGTATAAAGTATAGTAAATATTGCAATAAATTCCTCATTCCAGTCCTGTTTACTGCATAAAGGAACTGATTTTTTTCCAATCCCAGTATTAATACTTTGTACACTAATTAGCTCATATTGTGCATTGGTGTCCAAGAAACTTTATTTTGAAGAGAAAATGAATAATACTTATTTTATGTTGTTTTCAGGAACTTAAAAATCCACAACTACAAGATGATCTTGCAGCAGCTCGAGCTGTGTTGAAGAAGAACACTATGATGTTGCTAACTGCTTCTAAGGTACACCTTGGTGTTGTATTATCAGTGGTATTTTGTAAACTTTTAATAATATTTTCAATGCTTGTTCTGTGTGCAATGGTATATTTTTAAATTATGGTGAAGGATTGTTATATTGGCAATGTAGCATTATATATTTGCTCATCATTAGAAGTTCTGCTTAGATATATTACCTATTACATCATTGGTTTTGTGACTGCCTTATGAAACACATTAAATAGATATGTACTATTCTTATAAAAACATAAAATAGGAACTTAAATTCAAATTACTAGTGACTATTAAAATTTCAGAACCTGGTAGATTTATATTATAAGTCATGAAAATTGCATTTATTTTATAAAAGCTTATTATTATAATTAGTTGCTGATTTTTACTACTGTTTTAATTATGTTTTTAATTTTTTTAAATTGGCAAAACATAATTGTAAGTATATATATTCATTTATGCTAAGAGTTTGGGAAATTGTACTTTTATAAACGTTAGTGTGTTATTATTACATTTTTATAGGTGTATGTTAGACATCCAGAACTCTCTGCTGCCAGAGAGAATCGGGACTTTATCTACAAGCAGGTTTGTGAGGCTGTCACCACAATTAGTGATGTTGCCCAAGGAAAAGCTGTCCTAAGTGCATTGAGTGAACCTCCTTACAAAGGAGCTGGTGAGCTTGCAGCAGCTCTTGATGATTTCGATGTATGTTTATATTAATCAAATTTTTCTTTGACATTTTTCAAATATTTTTTTATGTTTGAATTTTAGTTTGAGAATATCATACGATCTCATTATTGTACAGTAAATTAAGGACTAGACCTTTCAAGTATAAGAACTTTTCAAATGTAAATAATATATACATTTCAGTGTGTAACTGTGTTACATTTTAATCATAAGATCCTCACAATAGTGAATATCACAACATTCATTTTTACATGTACACACATACACACTATTCAAATTAATTATGAAACACACACTTGAGTCACAAACAATGAATTATTTGAACTAAATATTCCATTCATCATTAGTAGAATACATTATTATAGAAAATACAAAAGAAAAGTGAGTAAGTTTTACAAAGAACTAGTATTTAGTATTTGCTTGAAACAGAGTAGTGCTTCTTGTTTTTATACTACCATAAGCTTACCAATTTATGATCATGAAATATTGTTCCAAAAATCCTGTATTGCCCCACAATTCAAAGAAGTTCTGTACTTACTGTTTGATCTTTTCAGTTTCCATATTAATACACACATCCTTAATAATATTTATGTCAGGAATTTTTGATAGCCAGTCTATGGTTGTAAGTGTTCCATTGGCCTTTTCACCCAGGTATTGTTTCACCACATTTGCTGCATGCTTGGGATCACTGCCTTATTTGAGATGAATCTCTAGCCAATAGTTCTTGTTCCTGAGGGAATTACATAATGGATAATAATCTCCTTGTACTTGTCAGTAATTAGAGTGATACAATATTATGTAGATTTCCAAAACTATTGGTTGAAATGCAGCCTACACTTGTATCAATCCCCCAGTATGTTGTACTGTGTTACTGTTTTCCTCTTTCTCATCAAATAAACTATCATCATGTGTAAAGAGTAAATCCTACAGCTATGCTTATCACATCTTTTGAAGTCTGGTGCCCATTTCAACCTTTTGGTTTTGTTATCTCTCCTACTTAGTGGTTTCTGAACAGCTATGCATCCATTGATGCCAAATGCTAATATGTGTCTTACTGTTTTAAAGGTAACATTGATACCTGTACTTTAAGCTAGGACATTGATAAGATATTTGCTAGATTATCATTTAACACATGTGGTTACTGTTTGACCGTTTCAGTTTCCACTTAACCTCACTTTTGAAGAGTTTGGGTTTTCTACCTTGACCATTTCTATAATCAACAATACTAGTTTCATGTGCCCTCTTTAGAGTTTTTATACAGCTGGTATTGAAAGTGGAAAATTTCACTTCAATCTGTGTCCTTTACCAGCCAAAATTTTGATTTTTATGTGTTTGTCATGTGGCACTTCTGTCCTAGGAGTCATGAAGTGCATTCTCCACACAACTGCTAAGAATAGTATGACTGCTTCTACTTTAAAGGCATTTTGCTGGTATGTTATTGTCTGATTGGTTGAATGACAGCCAGTCACAGTATGAAATATCAATATTTGTCCATACTCTGGTGCAGTTCACTTTCATACACTTGAAGGAGAAAGCCTGATAATATTTACATTTTATACCCAATTATTTAATGTTTCCGTATTACATTCAATTCTGAATCTACACACACACATACATATGTGCAGTAAAGATAGGCTTTAGAACCTGTCCATGTACAGTGGTAATAGCTGTAATAAGTTAGAAGTTTAATACAGAGAGAGAGTTAATATTAATTACACAGGTTTAAACCTATATCAGATGACAAAAAAGTGCATTTGTTTGTATTTATCATCTTTACAGATAGCTTTTTCTTGTGTATATTCTTAATTATGAGACTTCTCTTTAACCAAGAGTATGAACCACCAGCTGTAAATATTTCTTAATGGTTGACCTCTCTTAAATTTTAACATTATCATTAAAACTCATTTATACCTGTGATTGAAACTTTAATACTTATCTTTGAAACTTTTTTCTTCATGTGATTACCTTCTGTTGATTCATTAACCCTTTTTATATATATATATATTTTTTTTTTTACTGTAAAGTGATGTTTTAAGCTCATCCTGCTTTTCATCCAGTTCTGCACTCTGTATTTACTTTACTTGTTGTTAGAATACTTTGTTAAATTGAAATGTTGCAGGAAAGTGTTATATTAGACCCCTTGACATACAGTGAAGTTCGAACACGCCCAGGTTTGGAGGAGCATCTTGAAAGTATTATCAGTGGGGCTGCTCTTATGGCTGATTCATCATGCACTCGGGATGACAGACGTGAAAGAATTGTTGCAGAATGTAATGCTGTACGACAAGCTTTACAAGACCTGCTCTCTGAATATATGGCTAATGTAAGTGTGTATTGTTTAGTAAAGTGGATACACAAAGAACCTCTTTCTCACAGTAAAAACTTGTTCATTGCTCAATATTTCATCTTAAAACTTCTTGGGGAGCTATTTACAAAAAAAGTTTATTGATGAATGTTTAAAATAGAACTACTGTTGTACAGATAGTAAGAGTCATTGGCAAATCCAACAATAAATTTTCAGTTATTGTGACTGCTTTCTCATTGATGTATGTATTATTTGTTGTTTGTAAGTTCATACTTACAGTTATCCTTGAATACTGGTGAGGCACCAAAAGGTTGATGTGATGACTTGAATGTATGAAAATATTCTCAAATTTCAGTCTGCCAGTTAATTCCATTATCTGCTCTGGAATGAAGCAATAAATACTGACATTTATAGTAACAATAATGTTACAACAATATGTATTTAAGAGTAGTGTGACAAATATTACTCAACAAACAGTCAGTGTATATTTAAGTACAAACTACTACACCTCAGTAAGGAAATATATCAGTGGAGTTCTCTATGAGAACATATATTAAGCCCTTAAAACTGTATGCATAATCAGTGTCATACATAGTGGCTTTATGATCTTGTACTTCTTAATTTTTTGTTGTTGCCTTGGAATTAAAAATGTTTCTATGATTTTTGTTCAATAAAGCTGTGTCTTTGAGCCAAATTCTTAATGCCTGCTTGGGAAGGGTATGTGTGTTCATTATGTGGTAAGTTGTGTTCTTCAACCCTCTAGGTATGGATAGGTCAAAGTGCACTTGTCATGGCCTTGTTTTTACAGAGTTACATTCAGAATTTAATTAAACTACTTTATTATCAATGCATATCAATAAACATGACATGAAAATGTAGTTTATAATTCAAATTTTAATATATAGGTTTATTTCTTAATTTCAAAAGGAAATATATTCTCAGTTTCTCTTCCACATAACACGTGAAATTTCTTTGCTCTGAATTGTCCACTTAGAGTTTCTTTCCACCCCTATGTTATTTTCTTAGTTTCTAAGAATTTACATACAGACATATTAGATATTCTCGAGCTAAAATGCAAATTTATAACATCTACTCTTCTTGCTTTAACCCTATCACTACAGGTTACTGGTCAAAGGCCATGTCATTGTTTTTATTGACTTACATTCAACATTTTATTTAACAACTATTTATGTCAATAAGTTTGGTATCAAACTGTAGATTATAATTCAAATTTGAGTATTATACATTATTTAATTTCTTAATTTAAAAGTAAATATTAATAAACACACCTAAACATTAATTTTTGTTTATCACGTGGTATGTTGAATGCAGCACTGGTTCAAATTAGATGTTTGTGATGTCAAAATACAAGGTCTATAGTTTCGTATGAATTAGAAACTCAAAGTACTGATATTATCAAGCTAGAAGATAAAATAAGAACCTACTATCTTTTCTATTTGCTGAGATATTGCTTATGTACTGAATCAAACACAGTGGACCTGCTCACCTCTTTCTATTTTTAGAAACGGTCTCTTGTATACACTTACTTGTGTATATGACATGTGAATAACCAATCAAAAGCTCAGAATTTCCCCTTAGTGGCTTTCTCAGCCATTTTCAAGTGTTAGGATGCCATCTCATTCTTTTGAAACAAAATTTTAAGGAGGTAGGTTGTGTCTTTAGTCTGCTCAAAATTCCATATTTTATTCTACTGAAATACAGCTTAGTTACTAAGCTTGATAAATTATAGCAGAATTTGGTGGTATTGATATAGTAATTTATGATTTTTTAGTTATTCAACTATGTGTATATATAAAACTTAAAAAAAATTTCTTTTCACATCCATCATGTGGGAAATTTCGTAAGGCTTAGCAACCTACAACAAACACCAAACGAGTACAAAGGTCGTAACTAGAAGAGATAATTCTTTATTTATTGTTCTATGTTTTAACAAAAATAAGTTTAAGAACTTATTTGTAAATAGTAACAATGTGCATAGATATATAATGTATTATAACTGAAACGTGATTGTATTTTACAAAATACTAGTTCACTAAAACACAGCCAAGACAGGTCACTTTGTAAAGACTAAAGGTCAGTTTTATATTCTTGGATGTAGTAACGTGAGTGCACGTGCACTGTGTCATTGTAACTTCTGTATTGTTAGCCAGGCATGGCTGGAAGATCAATATAATAAAAATAATAAATATATATATAAATGTATAATGTTATGAGACTTAAGCTATTTAGACTAAACATTTGTGTTTTTGTGTTATAATCTGTAGTCATTCTAGAACAAAAGAAACATAATTTATATATATTTCCAAATTTTTTATGGTACTTACAAGGTAAGACCCTGTATAGTTAGGGTAGAGAAAATAACAGACAAAATATAAAATTTTACTGAAAATGTTTGAAATGTATTCAGGAGGTTTTAGAGATTACAAAAATAATATCCGAGGTTTTGGGGACAAAGAATAGTTTTATTAATCATGACATGAAAATCACTTCAAACTTGGACTATTAACGAAACAGGCTTGATATTTTCACAAACAAATCTTTAGTACAAATAATTGCTTAAAAAATCTGATTTTTTGTGTACAAAACACTTGAAATCATTATTAAAATTCTACCAAATATTGTGAAGATACACATACAGCATTAAATGTTATGGTATAAATATTGAACGTGTGGAAATGTGTATACAAACTCTTGTATTTTATACCGAGCCTGTTGCGAAGGGGTTAATAAGCTATATGCTATAAACTGGAACTCTCATGCCATGCCCCTCCCAGCCCATGCTATCTTTATAAAAATGTGAGTAAATTTCTCTGACATTTGCTATTGGATTATTTATAACCAAAAAAAGAGAAGATTTTAATTTAATGCTTGAGGTTAGCTCATTCTTGCAGTTAGTTTAGCACTGTTCTGTGTCAATTTCATAGTTTGCAAAATCACTTTGACCATGTAAGGAAAACATTTTAAGTAGAAAACCCACACATAAGTACTAAGTTTCTTGTTTTGAATGTCTTTTTTTTATTTATTGCTATAAAAGTAACTAAAATGTAAAAATTAGAAACTTATTGGGTCAGATAAGCAAAGTTAAAATGAAAAAATATATAATTTGAGCAAGCATATTGGTAACTCGATGCTATATTTACAGAAGGCTTCCCCTCTGTAATAATTTGCTTTGGCACTGATATTAGTAGCAGTAAAGCAATAAATGTAAATGACTGGGAAATTTCTATTGTATTAGCTTTGTTCATAACAATAAAAAATAATTGTCTGTAACAATATGCAGTCATTCTACAGAGAAAAAAAGGGTAATTTAGATTTATTTCATGTATTTTTATGGTGGTTACAAGGTTACTCAAATGGACTGAGCTTGTATACAGTGTTAGGGCAGAATAAAATAACATAAAATATAAGATACGAAAAGAGGTTTTAGATGTTACACAAATGAAATTTGAAAGTTTTAAGATGAAGAAAAGTATTTTTAATCCTAATATGAAAATCTCTTTGTATTCAGAGCAGTCAACACTCTGACTCTATGTATTCATGTACAAGTCTTTACTGAAAATAGTTAATTAAAGAACTCTGACTTTGTGTCTGCCAAAGATTTGTAATGTTTACTAAAAGCTTGCCAAATTTTGTGAAGATGCACATACCTCATTAAATGTTATAGTATGGATACTTTCATAGTTACCTGGTGGTTGCAAAGTCAAGCAAAATGACCTAGCACATGTTGAGAGAGTTAACAAATTTTATTTCATCTGGGGATACCTTTGGTTACTTTTTATGTGTAGAACAGCACTCTCTTTGGGCAAAATGTAAACACCCACTATTTTGTTTCTGTTAACCTCAATGATATGAAATTGTGTCAAGAAATTTCATTTTTTGGTGTATTTCAATGCAATACTAACTCTGATACTGGTCCTTCTTTTATTTAGATTATCAGTTACCTTTTAAGTAAGGCCAAATTTATTTTCTGAGCAAGAAAATTGTATATGCATTTCATAGATAGCAGAAAAGTTTACTCACAAGCCCAATAAATAAAATCTTGGTTGTAAGAGCCTTATGTTAGTAAAACAATTTTTTTGATATGACATCATATGCTATTAAAAAACAATCAAAGAAAAAATTAAGTGATATTAAATTTATTGGATTTAAAAACTAGACCATAAATCTCCATTTGGTGAGGGAAGGTTGAACTGGAATATATAACCTATACAGAATATAATTTGATAATAACAGTTAATTTATAAAGTGTTCAGTTTATAATATTTTTTAATGTAATCTACAGTAATGTGATTTATTTTTCTATTAAAATGCATCTATTTCAAGTAATTGGTTACAATTGTGCTTTGTTACTGTTTTTTTCTTTTTAAATTTATAAGTGTTGTAAATAATATGTTGAATTCCTGCTGTTCTACTTTTGTTGCATGTAATATTTAATTGAATTAAATAAATAGGTTGGAAAGAAGGAGCCTTCTGAAGACTTGGACAAAGCCTTGGATCACATGAACAGAAAAACAAGGGACCTCCGTCGACAATTGCGCAAGGCTGTTGTTGACCATGTTTCTGATTCATTTCTGGAAACAAATGTCCCTCTTTTTGTTTTGATTGAGGCAGCAAGAGCAGGTAATGAGCATGAAGTTCAAGACTATTCACAGGTGTTCAATGAACACGCCAACAAGCTGGTGGAGGTGAGTCTGACAGTCACCTGCTTATTATTCTCATCACCTTTGTTGAAATATTACTGGGTTTACATTTCTTCATAACAAGTGAGGAAAAGTAAAATATAAAACAGTTCAAGTGTTCAGTTATAGTTAGTTTCATTAAAAAAAATAGGATTTAAGTTTCACATTTTGAAACATTGAAAAAAGTGATAGTGCCACCACAATAATATAACAAAAACCCAAAAGAAATAGGTTGAATAGCTGAAAGGAAAAAATAATTAATTGGTTCAGCATTCTAGCTGAATAATGAGCATTTTTAATTTTCATTTAGGAGATTTTAAACATTTCTTTGTGTTTTCAGGTTTTATCCTTTTGAAGGTGAATGTATGTAATATTTACAGTACAGTAATTTGAATATAAAAAGAAAGAGAAACATAAGTTGTTTATTTTTGTATCAAAGGTGGCCAAGCTTGCATGTTCTATGTCCAGTAATGAAGAAGGTGTCAAGATGGTCTGGTATGCTGCTTCGCAAATAGAGAGTATGTGTTCTCAGGTGAGTAGTAGGTTTGCAAAATTTGCCTTGTTAAACTACTCTGTGATTTCAGTTCTTAGAACAACCTAATTTTAATTGCACTATGCATTACTGTTTTACAAGGAATTTCATCTTTCTTTATGAATGGTTGCTTATCCTTGCTATGTTCACCTGCCTTGTATCTTCACATTACCTGATAAAATGCCTTTAGAACGTAGAACTGTTTGATTTAATGCTAATAAGTATGATGAAACCAAATTGTAATCAATGTATATACTTAGATGCCATTTTTAATTTTGTTTTTAAGTATTAGTAAAAGTACTTTTTTTAAAGTTTATTCAGAAAAAGTAAATTATGTTTTGTTGTTAAATCTTACCCCAAAAGTCTGATTTGTTAGTAACTTAAATAAAATTGATAATAATTACAATTCTTGTTTAATCTGACTCACACTATGACAATTGTTCATGAAATTTGGTGGTACACACACACACACACACATATATATACATGCATGCATGCACACATATGTAGCACATGGATCACTACTACGTCTGACATATCCCATCAGGCCTGATGAGACCCAGGTTTGGGTGAAAGGCATGGTCAGTATTGGTTATGGTTGATGTAGTGTGAATGAAATATTGTAATAATTCTATGCCTTTTACTCATGGGTTCTCATGTTGCTTTGTATAAAATCGTCGAAAAGTAAGTTAATTATGAAGATTTTTTTCCTGACTTATTTCAACTTAAAAACTGTTTTTGTCAACTCATTAACTAATATTGGTGATATGAATGCTAGTAATATATATATATTGAATCTGTATTTTTTAAATGGATTAAAAACGTAAAGTTACTCTGAAAAAATTTTCACTTCTTTGAATGATACATTTCGTCTTATGCTGATATTAAATGAATATTGTTTTTAAATAAAGGAAGAAACACAATCTATCTTTATACAAAGCTCTACCAAAAAATGTAAAGAACTTTATTCCATGATTCATGTACTGTTGCTTCAAAAATACGTACTATACTCAGAGGCTATGGGTGCATTATGAGAATGACAGTTAAAAGTTACTTTGATTAGAGAAAGTCAAGATTTAGCAGTAGATGCTGTTGACTAACGATGTTTCATCTAGTCTATCAGTTGAAAAAGGACAGCTAGCTCAGACAGCCTTGTGTAGTTTTGCACAAATATCTAAAACTGATATGTTCTACACTGCCAGAGCAGTATTTATTCATTTTTAATTTTTTGAGTAAACAATCTTAGGAAACTTTGCAGTTCTTTAATTAAATTGAAAAAAGAAGGCAAGAAACACATTTGTACATTTTATTATAATCCATTTTCACATATAGAAAAAAGTTTGAAACCAATTTTATGTTTAGCTTGTATTAATATTAAATATGTTAATTTATCACATAAAGATGCAAAATACAAAATATTTAGAACACAAGACTAATTAATTATTACTTTTAAATTTTTCTCTTTAAGTTCCAATAAAAATCATTGATTAAATGATCTTTAATCAGAAATTTATTTGGCTTCTCATAACTAGTAATTTATTATTCTTCATTATGAAGTCATCATACACAATTAAATGAATAAACTTTGATCAATATAACTGTGTATTAAATCTCTGCATGAGAATTTGATAGTATTTTCATTATTGTTGTTAAGCTTTATTTAAGTAGAATTTTTCTTTTTACACAAAATACATTACTGTGTTGCTGATCTCTTAATTATTATTGTGTTTTTTACTTCCAAAAGGTAATTAATGCAGCTCAGATTTTGGCTGCCCGTCCATGCTCCAAGGTTGCCCAAGAAAATATGGATGCCTTTAAGGATGCTTGGGAAAATCATGTTTGCATTTTGACTGAAGCTGTTGATGATATTACTACAATAGATGACTTTTTAGCTGTTTCAGGTTAGCCTGTATAAGCTTTCTTTCTCTTTTTACTGGAAGCACCTGCATTATTATTGATTTATATTTTACTGATTCAACTTGAAAGTACATATTGTTTATGTACAATGAATAGTTAAGTGTTCAAAGTGTAAACTTATGTGCAACTACCAGGATTCTATCTGAGTTGTAGACAGGAACGTTGAGAGCCAGCACAGGCCCTGGGGCAACCATCCTCACTATCTTTTTTAACATTTTCAAGAATTTATTAAAAAAAGATCCTGAATTAGGACAGCAACGAGCTCATAAACCAGACAAAATCATAGCAGCAGCTGTTTTTACCTCACAGTATAAGCATAAAAACGTTAATAAAGTAGCAACAAATATCTATTAAATCTATAAAGTAATAAATACATATTAATCATTATTTCAGTCATTCTAAATGTACAAGCGTCTATATGTCTGGTTGTAGATATACATGAACTATTACTAGAATTTATAACCATACTTCAGTAATAACTGAATGCTTTAAAGCTATTTTAGGTTTGACCTTTTGGCCTTGTTTTCATGCAAAGCCAGTATTTCTATGTAATAAAAGAGCTCAGAACATTGATTTCATAGTAATCACCCTGACTTTTGTATTCACTTTTTTATTCCCTGATGCAATATCTAGTGATGATCATAAATTCCTTTGAAAACGTTTTGCAACATGCACTATACTACTACTGGAAATTTTTTCACTCATTGATCAGTAGAAAATGATACAAAACATGTTACAGTTATCAAGGTACATATGCACTTTGTTGAGTGTCACCTTATATACCATTTTCTTTCTTCAGTTGGTCTTCCTTTCCTGAATATCATTTGAGAGCAACTTGTATACATGTGACTTGTGTCACTTTTCCAGAAAGAGATTCATCTTGATTATGTTGCACACTGTATGCTGGGACACATTGGCATATTTTGCCTCTGACCTTTGTGTTTGATGCTGCAGTTTGCTTACCATGGCTGTCCTGGCTGGTGCCCCAAGTTGATCCATATTCATTTATTTTTTAATGTTATTAAGTACAAGGGATACCCCTGTCTTAGAAGATCTAAATCCCCAATATGAATACATCTCTACGATCAAAGTGTATGAATATTTTGCATCAGAAAGGTATTTTATATACCTTTCTCAAAAGTTCTTAGTGGCATCAGTGTTGAAATGTAGTTCTTGTATATTCCACTTCACCATAAGTTTGTATTGGCTGTCATTATCATGTGATTTGCTGATTTTGCATCTTCAAAATTGTTATAAATTACTCAATCTTCTATATAATTGGTAATGTAAATTTATATATGGAGTATTGCAACTAAAATATCTTAACTCCTAGGAAAAGTATAACGTTTTACTAGACACATTGCTCTTTTAACAAATTTATGCAAAACAAAAAAAATATATGAATAAAATAGAAAGTTATTTCACATTCTCACACTGTTGTACAGTGGTTCTTCTGTTAAGTAGCATTTGAATTTAATTAATAACTAGATACATACAGTTAATTTAGCTTTCTTTATTTTCTAAGATACATTTCAAATTTCACAAATGCAAAATATTTATAATGTCCAGATAGTTATCAAACGTTTCTTTAGAAAAAACTTTATATTTTATCTGTTATTTTCAGTAACAAATCTCTGTACGGATTTGGCCGATTTGACTGATATTGTAACCACAGTACAAAAGTAGGAAATAAATATAAATTATGCCTTTTTCGTTCAAGAATGACTACAGATTATAACATGAAAACATAAATGTTTAGACTAAATAGCTTAAACCTCATAACATTATATATTTATTATTTTGACCTTTCAGCTGTCCCTAGCTAACAATACAGAAGTTACAATGACGCAGTGAACGTGCACTTACATTACCATATCCAAGAACATAAAACTGACCTTTAGTCTTTACAAAGTGACCTGTCCTGGCTTTGTTTTAGTGGACTAGTATTTTGTAAAATACAATCATGTTTCAGTTATAATACATTGTAACTATTTACAAATAAGTTCTTAAACTTATTTTTTTATAAATATAGAACAGTAAATAAAAAATTATTATTTGATGTGGTGCATGTTCTTATCTAGTTCTGATTAAAAAATCAAATTGAACATTGTTATGCAGTGATATTATTTTGAATATAATAAGTTTATTTTGCTGATTTTTAGGGGTCCTGTTTGGGTAACAAACTTTCTCTTCAATGCATTATTACTAACCATTACCCCACTAAAATAAAAACTATAGTCATCTACAAATTCAATTGCAATTCATGTAAACATTTTTATATTGGAGAAACTGGAAGAGGAATGAACCTCAGACTTGCACTTTAAGGACTCTCACATGTTTTGGAACATCTTAAAGAAACAAAACATATTATCATTGAAAACAATGTTGAAATCATATGAAGAGAAAAAGGCATTAACAGAAGAAAAATGGCTGGAGCACTGCTAATAAAATCATCAAAGCCAAAGTAAATAAATATCCTTTTATTAATATTTCATCCACCCCCATTGTACTAAAAAAAAAACTAATTTAATGCCACCTAATAACTTGTCCTCACCATTACTAGTTTGTAACTTTTGATATCAGCTGTCTTTTTGAATCTAACTCTTTGCTTGTAGCTATTAAAATAAGAACTTGTTTATTGTAAAAGTAGCTGCTACTGTATTTTTGAATTAATTTATCTTCAACACTTAAATGAGGTAGACTAATACTGACTCATAGAAACACCCTGAATGGATGAACCATGGATGACCTGCACTTAATTGTGCAAGAATATTAATTCACCTTTGCATGTGCAGTCCCCCAGTGGCTCAGTGGTAAGTTTACAGACTCACAATGCTAAAATTGGGCATGGCTTAATATTATTGACCTGTATGCTTTATTTGTGTAAAAACACCTCCTAGCATCCTGAAACAAATTATGTATACTGATAGCTTAGTAATAAATTCATGTATTATGTTACATAGAAAATTAGGGATCAGATCCATCTGGATACCTCATCTCATTAGTCATTTAATTACAGTTGAAGTTGAACTTGCATAGAATTCCTCACTAGGTAACATTTACATTAATGTCCCCTTTATCAATACATGAACACCAAATGCTCATTACTAGTATTTTCAATGTTGTCTATTATGTCACATATCTAGTGTAGCTTGGGTTAGCAAATACATAAGAATTCCAAACAATGTTTTAGAATCAGTAGCATAGCATTTAGCTTGCTGCACTTGTCTACACTTATTATTTATGTGTCCATTACTTTCTCTCTCTGTCTTTTAATAAAACGTGACTTTTTCCTACTTACTTTCTCAAACTTTGGAAAAAATGACAGTTCACATGCAGCACATATTGCATTTCATAACAACTTGAGGTGGATTCCTTTACATGGTGAGTTGACTTTCCAGGGAAGGTTATGTATTTTCAGTTTACCTCCTCTGGGATCTGAACATACACCCACGTGTTTGCCATATGTGGCATCTCATGAAGGAGAGGTTTCTGGTGTTTGAGGGATGTCATTTATGGATCAGTTTATGTCAGTTGCACTTTAACACACCACTTTGGCCTTGAATTCCTGTAAACAGGTGGTCTTGGAGTGGCTCCCCCAGGGCCAATTGGCTGGTCATGTTGGGCTAGGGTAAATCAAGTACCAGTGTTAGACGTTCTCAAAGAGTGTTGTGGATATTATTTCTGACACTGGTGTTTTGGTATAGTGCCCAAAAACACTGCTCTGCTATAGCATTATAGTGCACCCCCTTGTAGGACTCCATGGTGGGTGGGGTCAGTGGGCACTGAAGTTTTTCTATTTTGTACTGACTCTGCACACAGTGACACCAAAAAACAAAAACAAAAAACATGTTGATAGGAAAGCAACCACACTTGAAAGACTCTGAACAACAGTCTTCACCCCATTCTCCACCTGTACCTAGTTTTTTCATCATACGTTCTTTATCAGACAAACCTTTAGAGCAAATGTCTCCCATTTTTATTCAGAAGGGATTAGAGGGACTTGCTGGCTCTCCAAAGTTGGTGAATAATCTTTCTTTATACCAGAATGACAGGTTGTGTGTTGGACGAGTTCATGGAGGTGTGGCACTGCTGATTGACCAGCACATACCCACCTTGTCTGTGCCACTCGATACACCCTTGGAGGCTGTAGCCATCTGTATCTCTGTGGGTTGTACCATCACTGATTGTTCCCTCTACCTGTCCTCAGGAGAGACTTACGATCAATTGGACCTTTATGCTCTCATAGAACAGTTGCTGTCTCCCTTTTTAGGGTGGTACTGATATTGATGGGACGGGTTGTTCTGTGGAGCATATGCTCTCAGATTACAACCTTTCTCTTTTCATTACTGGTTCTTTAACCTATTTTCATACACCTAGTCAGTCTATTACAGCTATTGCTTTATTTGTCTGTTCTTTCACTTCTTTTTCATTTTTCTTGGAGGGTTGACAGTGATCATTTTCCCATCGTTTTGAGGGAGACTGGCCATGGTTGATGCCATCCGACTCGAGTGCCACGGTGGAAATTGGAGCATACTGATGGGCTCGCCTTCACCACTTTTTTGGAACTAGATCCTGCTGTTGGTAGTCTTCCATTTATTAATGACTGCATGGAGGAAGTAACTGATTGTATAATTCAAGCAGCTGCTCATTATATCCCCAAAACCTCAACAATTTTTCCACCGTATGTTCATTCATGGTGGTCCCTTGCCTGCCAGCAGGCACAGAAAGCTCAAAAATGGGCCTGGGATACCTTCCACTCTTTCCAAATGCATTGCTTTCCAGCAGGCCTGTGTCCATACTCGACAGGTCAAACGTTAAAGCCAGAAAGATTCTTGGATTAAGTTCACCTCCAGTTCCAAAGTTATCTGAGATAAGGTTTAGAATGTCAATGGGAAGTATACTTCCCATCCTCTTTCTATCTTGCTCTCCATTGACCAGGAAGTTGCTGATGTATCATTAATTCTTGCAGGGAGAGCTTTGCTTATCTTTCCAGCACTTCTGTCTCTTCTCCAACTTTCTTGGCCATCAAATCTCAGGCTGAGTGATCACCCCTTTCCTTTCAGGCTGATTGTCCCTATGATTATAATCACCCATTTACACTGGTGGTACTTAAGCTTGCTCTTCATCAGTCTGGCAGTACATCAGTCAGACCCGATGACACTGACTATGAGATGCTGCGCTATCTCTGGAGAAACTGAAATTCTGATATATTTTAATTTATTTTTAAAAGACTGATTAGTAAAATCCAACACTGATTAATCAATGTCAGAATACTGTAATCAGTTTGTATATGATATTTTAAATATATATAGTTTGAGAATGCTCTAACAAATTCATTCTGGAATGTAATTGCTTCTTCTTTTTCTTCCTGATTCCAGATAATCACATCTTAGAGGATGTGAACAAGTGTGTGTTAGCTTTACAGGAGGGAGATCCTAACACATTAGATCAAACTTCTGGAGCCATTAGAGGACGATCGGCTCGTGTGTGTAATGTGGTGTCAGCAGAGATGGATAATTATGAGACTGGCATTTACACTGAACGAGTTTTAGAGGCTGTAGCTGTGTTAAGAGACCAAGGTAATATGAAATTATTTTGTCACAAAGAGCTGTCTGCAAGTTTAAGCAATTGACTAGAAAATGAAAATATAAATATTTTAAATAGTACAAACGTTTTTTTGGTAAAATGGCAGTAAAAATTTTAAAATAAAATTTAAATGAAATAATTGTTTAAAAAGTGAAAAACATTGTTACTAATAAATTTTTCTGTTGACACTATTTGATATAAAACCAGTTCTCAGTTGATTGATTGATTGACGGTTGTAGAAGTTGTTTTATTCCTTTTATTATCATTAGTAATTTTGTATGTTAAATGCATCATAGTTTTATATTTTTTTTTTTGTTTATATTATTATTAAGTCTAAAAGAAAAATGCAAAAGTAGTTTCAGAAATTGACAAGATGTTAGTTATATATTCAATAACAGTGGATACATATTTTAATAATTAGTTAAATTTGATCATAGTTATGCCCAATTTTGCCCAGAGGGTTGAAATAGCAGTTGAAGCCTTGAGCAGCAGTCCACAAAAGGAAGTGGATGAAAATGAGTTTATTGATGCCTCACGGCTTGTTTATGATGGAGTCAGAGAAATAAGAAGAGCTGTGTTGATGAACAGGGTATGTGTTTGTGGTATATTTAGTTGTTCTGATTGTGCTGATTATGATATAGCACTTAAAGTACAACACTAGTATGTATACACAATAATTTACAATTCTGTTAATTATTTATCCTTCAAAAATTAAAATTTTCAAAAACAGGCTTTTTATTTCTAATTTGTTTTATTAAACAGTAAATTTTTTGTAGTCTATTTTATACATATGGAAATAAGATATATTTTACAAGAATACTTTTCCAGAAAAAATTATTTTCCGAAGTTTTTAAACATAATTAATATAGCCAATAGTGTTTCTTGTAAAATAACCAACTATTTCTGGTACAATTTTCATCAAAAGCCCACCAAGTAAGCTTGGTGGGCTTTTGATTAATACTGTCTTACACATTCATTTAGTAATGAACACTGATTTAAGTTACACCTCCAGATTCAAGAAATAAACCTAAATGGTATCAAAATCAACAAAAGTTTAATAAAAAATACAGCAAGGAGCTCCCAATAATTACAAAACCAAACATCTTTCTTAGTGTCAGCTTTGCCAATTAGGTTTTAAGGTTTTTCTTAGGTGGAGATGATATTGTGAAACACACAAACACTAAAGGCCACATTACTAAAGCAATTGCTGCATCATCATCAAAGATGTAAACTTTGTTTTTTAATCCTATGAGCAAGGATGAATCAAAGTACACATGCCACAACCTTCTTACAGTACTACATTCAAAATTTGATGAAAGAGATTTATTATCAATGTATGTCAATAAACTTATCATCAAAACATAGTTTGTAATTAAGAGTTTAATATTATATATAAGTTTTAAATTCTTTTTCAAAAAGAAATACTTAAATAAATTCTCAATCTTTACTCCTCTGTATCATATGACACTTTGTTGCTTTAAATTGCCTATTTTAGATTTTCTTTCTGTCCCTGTATGCTCTTCTGAGCATGCCACCAATTACACTTATACTATAGATATTGCTAAGCCATAATGTAAACTTATAGCCTCAAAGCTTTTGCTTAACTAAGATATAAGCAAAAACAAAAAAAATCAACTCGCATGCCATGCCACTATCTCATCCCATCTTTCAAAAAATATCAATAATTCTCTTCAATACTTGCCATTTGATTATTTATAACCAATTGAAAGTGCAAGGTGTTCTTTATCAAATTTGTTAGTAGGCTAGTTCACTTAGGCACCAGTTTAAAAAATATTTAACCTCAGTTTCAATGTTTGTATTTTTGTGGTGTTTGGCTCAACCAGCAAATAGAATTATTTTAACCTATTTATAGCTTAGTTAGAAATCTAGTTAAATTATAGTAGTTTTAAGACATTCTATTGTTTTTGTGTGATAACATTTTGCATTCTAAATTGCATATGTGAAATAATAATTAATATTTTAGACCACCAAAATTGTTACAAAAAAGTAGGCCTATGGTGGTTTTTACTACCAGCAGTAAAAATCCAGAGACCAGATATAAGTACTACATTTCTTGTTATTTATGTTTATTTTTAATCTATTGTTCTAAAAGTAAATAAAATTTAAAAATTAGAAACTTATCAGGTTAGATAAGAAAAATGAAAAAAAAAATTCTTGTGATAGTCAATATTCTAGCACATGCACATCATGAGGTGTGTCAGTAATTCTGTTGTTTGTTTATACATAAATCTGTCCAACTGTGGTAAATGGCTTTTGCTGTACTGTAAGACTATCAAGTAGCAGCTTTATAGCAATAAAACTAAATGAACCCACATTTGAAAAGGTCTGTTGTCTTTGACTGTAAGAATAAGTAGTGTGTAATTGTTTGTTACAATATGTATTCCTTCCAGAAAAATAAAATAAAATTTAGATTTATTTCATATTTTTAGCTTTTCATTTTACACTACATTGCTGATTTTATTACAGATAATGTTAGGCTAGAGAAAATAACAAAGTTATACTGGAACAGCTGGAGGTATTAGAGGTTATGCATATGAAATATGAAAACTGTAAGATTAAAAAAATAGTTTTATTTTTAGCATAAAAATCACCTTACACTCAGACTCGTCAGATTCAGACTGACTTGATAAATTCACAAACAAATCTATAGTAAAAAAGTACTTTATTACAAAACCAAATTTTTTGTATGAACAGACTTTTAATGACTACTATAAGCCTGCCAAATTTCAGGAAGATACACTTACCATATTTAGAGTTTAATGGTTATATGGTTAGTCAAAATAACCAAGCCTGCACTCATAAGGTTAACCACAACAAAGAGCTCTAAACCATATGAAAGAAATGTAAATGTGTGTATTTATATGCACAGTAATGACTAAGGAAATTAACAACAGTTGCATAACAATGACCTTTTGTTCTTATTACTGTGATAATCAAAACACTTCAAGACTGGCCAAGGTTTGTGGTACAGTACGTTTCCATAATTTTAGGATGTTAGCATCCCTGAATAAGGAAGGAGATGAGAGAAAAAAATTTTATTGAGCAAGTGATAGGTATGATTACTTGTAGTGCTTCTAATAAGATGAACTGAGTTGACTGCTGTCATTGTTTCAAATTAAATAATTTTGAAGTATTTAAGGAGAATCATTGAAGTAAAGCTTGTTTTTGAATTTCGCGCAAAGCTACATGAAGGCTATCTGCTCTAGCCGTCCCTAATTTAGCAGTGTAAGACTAGAGGGAAAGCAGCTAGTCATCACCACCCACGCCAACTC